ATTGCCCCAAAACAAAAGTTTTAGCATCCAGATTGCCAGATCGTCCAATTTTAGGAGTTAGGCCATCACTTGTTTCTGCCATACCAAAATCACTCATGATGACTAGTTTAAGCAAATCAGAGATGTGACGAGAAAAAGGCGAACGAAAAAGAGGGCGAATAAAACGGCAAATTTTTGTGAAGTGGGAGAGATGAAAACGAGAGGCAAATGGCAAATAATGTAAATTGCAAGGAGATGAGATTTGTGATTAGGAACCTGATAGATGTTGATGATGTCTCCCCGGCCACGGCGCCAGAAATTCCTTTTGAAGTCGCTTGAACTATGTTGGTATTTCCCCAAAGAGGAAGGGATGATGCAGCATAGCTACGGTAGGTATTTCCCTCAGTTATGAAACCAAGGTTATCGAACCAGTAGGAGAACCAAGCAACACTATGTAAACGGTACATGTACACAAAGAACAAATACCTGCAACCTCACGTGTAAAAGGGGTTGTCAATTCCTCTCGGGTAACGGTGCCAGAAATTATCAAGTTGACGGGATAAAAATTGTGGTAGATTGATAGATGCAAATAACGACAAATAAAATTCAGCGAGGTATTTTTAGGTTTTTGATAATATAGATCTAAAAATAAAAGATGCAAATAAAGAAAAAGGCAAATAGCAATATAGATATGCAAATATAAGACGGGAAAATAGACCCGGGGGCCATAGATTTCACTAGTGGCTTCTCTCAATAAAATAGCACACGGTGGGTAAACAAATTACTGTTGGGCAATTGATAGAACATCGAATAATTATGACGATGTCCAGACAATGATCATTATATAGGCATCACGTCCAAGATTAGTAGACCGACTCCTGCCTGCATCTACTACTATTACTCCACACATCGACCGCTATCCAGCATGCATCTAGTGTATTAAGTTCATGGAGAAATGGAGTAATGCAATAAGAAGGATGACATGATGTAGACGAGATCTATTCATGTAGGAATAGCCCCCATCTTGTTATCCTTAATAGCAACAATACATGCGTGTCTTGCTGCCCCTTCTGTCACTGGGAAAGAACACCACATGATCGAACCCATCACAAAGCACCTCTTCCCATGGCAAGAAAAATCGATCTAGTTGGCCTAACTAAACCAAAGATTCGAAGAAGAAATACGAGGCTATAAGTAATCATGCATGTAAGAGATCAAAGAAGACTCAAATCACTTTCATGGATATAGATCTGATCATAAACTCAAAGTTCATCAGATCCCAACAAACACACCGCAAAAAGAGTTACATCAAATAGATCTCAAAGAGACCATTGTATTGAGAATCAAAAAGAGAGAAGAAGCCATCTAGCTACTGCCTACGGACCCGTAGGTCTTTGATGAACTACTCACGCATCACCGGAGAGGCACCAATGAGGATGATGAACCCCTCTGTGATGGTGTCTAGATTGGATCTCGTGGTTCTGGAACTTGCGGCGGCTGGTATTGTTTTTTGTTAACTCCACTAGGGTTTTTGGAATATTGGGGTATTTATAGAGCGAAGAGGCGGTGCGGGAGGCCACTGAGGTGGGCACAACCCATCTGGGCGCGCCTAGGCCTCCAGTCGCGCCCTGGTGGGTTGTGCCCCCCTTGGGGCTCCCCTCTGGTACTTCTTTGGCCCATGTGGTGTATTCTGGTCCCAAAAAATCTCCAAAAAGTTTCGCTGCGTTTGGACTTCGTTTGGTACTGATATTCTGCGAAGTAAAAGACAAGCAAAAAAGCGCAACTGACACTGGGCACTATGTCAATAGGTTAGTCCCAAAAAATGATATAAAGTTGCTATAAAATGATTGTAAAACATCCAAAAATGATAATATAACAGCATGGAACAACAAAAAATTATAGATACGTTGGAGACGTATCAGACTTCTCCAAAAATACTTCAACAATGTCAAGTTGCTCTTGGGGTACTAGCATTGGAATGATAACTTCCTTGGTGCCAGCTTGCTACATAGGTTCATCTTCATGAGGTGGAGGCAGTGGAACCTGCTGCAAGGGTGCACCGAAGTTTAGTGGAATAGCATCAATTACGATATTCTGAAGGCGGCGGTCCTTGTTTTCCTTTAGTTTGTTGACTCTTGCTTGTGCCTTCTGATGTTTTTCTTCTTGGATCCTTCTATGAGCAAGACTAGCCTTGCGGTCAATCTCCTTGTTCCTCCTATCACACAGCTAAGAGATATCCATCTGCATCCTAGAATGCCAATCAACATTTTCGTTTCGAGTGACACTCAAGGCCTTTGTGATATCAACAATCTTCTTGCTCAGACCTTTCTGCTCGTATTCAGTCTTGGTTTCCTTCTTCATTTTCTCAAGCACTTGCTTGTCAGCGAGTGCTTTCTTGAGCTTCTTCGAGTTTTTTTCTCAGCTCCGCAAAGTGCCTCATTACCATTTCGGTAACATCATCAGGCAGTCCCAAACTCCTCAATTCATCAAATTTGACATCATATGCCACGTTGTTAATGATATCGCTGAATAGCTTGGAATCATAGTTTGGTTCCTCTGTTGAAGCAGGAACACTGGACTTGTCTTTCTCGGGAGATGCATCGACTTTTTCTTCAGACGACAACTTTCTCTTCGCTGCGGTCTTTGTCAAAGTTCTCGGCACAGCAGAACCCATAGGTTCATCAGAGACTGGTGGTGGAGCATGTTTGGGTGAGCGCCTTGGCGAGGGTAAAACTTTCACAGGAGACGAACTATATTTAAGTCAAAGGGATCGTTTTTGCATTTTAACAGAAGCCCCCAAATTTTTCGGTTAATCAATCTGCCGTTCATCTAAAACAAATGCTTTTCTAAATTATTCATATATTTTAAACCATAACTCCTATTTTAACATGTTATATATAAAATTTGATTAAAAATATGTAGAATCTAAATATAATATTATTTTACCTATTAAATATTTTAAAATATTATTTTGGGTGCAAACTTAATCTACACATGGTCCATTTTTTTCGTACGCGGCGATCCGGATTGCAAATAACTAAAACCAGATTGAGACGAAAGAAAACATCGACAGCCACGCACGCACACCTCTGAAAAAAATCTCGCAAGGGAATAACAACATATTTCTCATCTTATTCCGAGCGAGCACGCGTGCGCGCACGAGAGAGACACCTTAAAACTGACCACATTCAACCACGTTATGGTTGTGTGAGCACTCAGGCCACCGCCAATGAGGGTGAAGGAGGATAGGCGACAACACAAATGTGATGCCTTGCTAAAATAAAGGGAGTGCACCTATTGAGGTTTAGATTTGTAATTATTGGGTTAAAGCGTGTTTTCTTTATGAGAGGTCACATATGGAGAGTTGGTTGTGGAGCAAGTATTAATATTTGGGAGGACCATTGGGTGCCTAGTAGTCCAAGCAGGAAGGTGATAACTACAAAGGGATAATGTTTGATGCAAACAGTGAATGAGTTGATTGACCCATTTACGGGGATGAGCTACTGGTTAGAGACAACTTTCTTAGTGTGGACGCACAAAGAATTTTGAAGATTCCCTTGAGTTCACAAAATCACATATGTTTTCTGTTCGCTCAACATACTATGTTGAGTGGGAACACCAGTATGCTGCACAAACTAGAAGAAGTGATGGGCAAGGATCAATGAATATTAATCCTGTTTGGGACATCTTGTGGAGACTCCAACTACCAAGTAAGGTAAAAATCTTTGCCTGACGTGCTTTGCATGGGATTGTCCCTGGTATGGCAGTACTAGCACATCGACATATTAAGGTACAACCGCATTGTCCTGTGTGTAAGCAAGGAGCAGAAGCAAGGAGCAGAAGATATGCGTCATTGTATGTTCACATGTAGAAGGGCAAAACAAGTGTGGGCAGAACTGGAAATGCAACCATTAATAGAGGAAGTGATTAATATTGACAGGTCAGGGAGCATTATTCTTGAGGAGCTTCTCACACGGCCAGCGAGCCATGCTCCTGTGCTTGGCCGATTGGACCTCAGGGAATCTTTGATCGTTGGTGCATGGTATATTTGGTGGCAGCGAAGAGAGTTTGTGAAGGGAGAAAAAGTCATTAATCCTACAAGTACTGCATTCGCTATCCTGGCAATCACAGGTAATTTCAGTCGAGCCACTAATATGAAGGAACCAGAGAAGATATTGCAGAAGAACCTCTAGGTAACTCATATAAGCTAAACGCCGATGCAACTTACTTTGAGAATGGTACGGGTGCGGCAGCTGCTGTTCTCCGAGACAGTAGTGGTGAGGCTATGGCGGGGTCGTCATGGCTGCTAACTCATCTCCATGATGCCACAACGGCGGAGGCGATCGCACTTCAGCGAGGGCTGGAACTGTTGGAAGACCTTGGTTGTCAATCGGTGATTGTTGAATCAGATTCGCTGGAAATTATTCAAGCTTGCAATGGTGTGATTGAAATATGAAGCGATCTGCTATTTTGACGGATTGCTTTCAAAAGGCTCTCTGTATAGGTGATGTTTCTCTCACGCATTGCCCCAGAGAGGCTAATAGATTGGCGCACAATCTAGCTAGACATAGTTTTGTTTCGAACTCTACTTTTGTTTGGGATGGTGATCCCCCTGGGTTTTTATTTTCAGACGTAACTTTGATTTGAGTTAATAAAGTGCGTCAAGTGGATTTCCCCTAAATAACGTGTTTTTTTTCTCCTGTTGCAAAGCACGGGCTCTTTTACTAGTAATACATATATGAGCATAACAGAGCTACTATATATTTGCAGCACCACATATACAATCATTATATATTGGCAAAGAAATCAACAATAGTTACAGTCAAAATATATACACTTGCCAATATATATTGATCGAAGAAGGCAGTAGTGCATCGTCGACTAGTGTAGACTACCAGCAATCAACTAGTGCAGACTACAACTTATTTAATTCGCAACCAGGCTTATAACGCTATACTACCGTGGACTAGCTACCAACAATGACGCGATCCATCACAGTATATACAGATATCGTCATCCATTCATCGCCACTCCAGGATTATTCTCGAGGGGAGCAGCGGTCCAAAACCGCCGTCTTCCTTCGCCGCCGTCGCTGCTGCTGCTGTGCCGTCCTCACAGGCCACTAGCCTAAGAGCAGAGCTGCCAGCGTGCTTGCTGTGCTTGAGCTTCAGCTCTTCGAGGCTCCTGGCGAACACCTGCTCCAGCCAGGCCCGCAGAGGCCGCCGCCCGTCCTCCAATGCCCATGACGCCGCAAGCATTTGCTCCATCGCGCCATCGTCGACCTCCAACGTGCAGCCCGAGGCCAGGATGTTGCTGAGTACGTTGCTCAGGTCCTGGAGGATGTCGTTGGCCAGTTTGCCAAAGTCGAACGCCTTGAATTCGATCGCTCCGTCAACCAATCCCAGGAGGCTGTCGATGGACTCGTCTGGATTGTCGTTGCTGCTGCTGTCGTTGGCGTCAGCGTCGCTCGATCCATCCTCGCCGACGGGGAGGTTCAGGTCGAACGGCACACTTGATGTTCTGTGTGGCCGCTTGGGATTGCTCGGTGATTCTAGCAGCTTTTCTTGGTCGTCAGAAACGTCCAGCTTCCGCTTACTGACACAGCCAGAGTACACAGAAGCCTGAAGTTTGGTGTGAGGGGAAACTACCACCTTACTGCTACTAGGGCCTCTGCTGGTGATCGCCGTGCCTGATTCTATCAAGATCTTCAGTTGCTGTCCTCTAGCAGCCAGGATCTTCTCTTCGGAGAAAGTATGCCCCTCTTCCACCCCAACCGAGACATTTTTGCTGCATCGTGCCAATCTTGTTGACAATATTACTATGGAGTCATTAATGGCAACTTCCTTGCCGCGCATGTCTCGGAATCTACCGGTGTCAACGGCATGAGAGAGACTGTCCTGAATGAGGCAGTCAACTTTATCAATGTTGTCGAGGAAGATCACACAGCGCCGCTTCTTGCTCAACTCATCAACGATGCAATCTATGCCAGTCTTTCCTCTGAAACTTGAGCCGCCCCAATCCTGGAGGCTCAGGTCCAGATAAATGAAGCTGTCTTCGCTGCCGTGCACGAGCTCTGCCAATGCCACGGCAACTCTCCGCTTGGCCATGCTGTCGAAACCATGAAAACTGAACCAGATGTCGCTCTTCCTGCTTGTGCCGCGGCGCCTCTCTGTTGACTGGCAGCCAACAATGGATCCACAAATAGCACTCAGGGCTTCCTCCTGCCTTCCGACTACCTTGAACAGGCGTTCCACGAGTAGCTTGTAGTCGCTCAAATCAGAACCTTGTACTGAAAGGTGTGAAGGCTTTCGCCATTGGCCAAAGGCAGACACACCTCCTGAAGCTGGTGAATGCAGAGCACTAGGTGATGGTTGCCCCATATTTGTGGAACCCCGGGAGCTATGAGACTGTGCAAAGGGCTGTGGGGGCTTCATATTCAAATCATCCACCTTACTGGGTGTCAAGTGGGTAGACTTCTCTGCATCCACTGCATGTTTCCAGCTCACAGAACTTGTACCCTTGGAAGAAGATCCACGGGGCGTGCTCAACACCAAATCCGTTGCCACGGATGCAGCAGCTGATGGCGACATGCTATCTTCACGATCATGGCAGCTTGACAAGTGTTCTTGCCGCAACTGCGCATGCCTGTCTTGAAATTGCTCATCACCCTTTGAATGCCTCCCTTGAAGATTCAACACAAGGCCTTCGTTCCTTTGGTTGGAGATAGATGGAGGTGAAACACTCTTGTTTGGGGTTGCATTCGTATGTGTAGCAGATACTGCAGAAGGCCTAATAACCTCCCTTTGAAGTGTAACCAACTCGGAACCTTTGCTCAGAATTGCTGATCTTTCTGTGTCAACAGGAACACCAGTGTAATGTGGGAATACCTGGTAAGGACCTGCGTTGATCCTCTGGCTTCCTTGGTGGAGCCGCAGGCAGTACTCGTTCCACTTCTTCTGCAGATTCAATATTTTTGATTTCAACACCATCTGATCATCTCTAACCTGCACTGAAGAAAAACTGCACGTTTTTATACCAATGAGATACAAAATTATCCATGTATTTAACACGCTGTGCATGCATGTGTTTGTTGCTGTACTAAAAACGTTTCAAAAGACATAAATAGCTTCACACCTTGATTGCATCAAGTCCACTGTTAAGACCCATCATGCTGCCATTCTGAAGCAGGGAAGGCAGACCTCCATGGTGATAGCCTTCAGCTGTAATGCCACTCCCTTTAACGATTGTTGTGACTTCTTGCTCACATCTATCATTGCACTGTTGACACCGGAGGGTTTGCGGGCAAGGATGCGCTGCGAGGCTGTTAGACTCGTAGGAACCATTGACAAGTCCACCAAAAGGAACAAACGATTCCACCAAGCTGCAAATTACAAGATTGAAACTGTTAGGTCCAGTTGATGAAAGAAACTGCAGTACATGACACTATGACAGAAGCCAGACCAAGTACAATGAACTACTCCCTCCGTCCCAAAATAAGTGTCTCAACTTTATACTAACTCTAGTACAAAGTTGTACTAAGCTTTAGACACTTAGGGGCTGTTTGGATTGTGACGGCAACTTAGGTACAGCTAGTCATAACACTAATACATTTATGACCCCAATTTTAGCTGGGCATTAGAATTTCCGGTCAGAGAACAAATTTTGCTGCACTATTCGAAGCCTAACTCTTTCTCGTGAAAATGCATTTTTTTAGTGTCTCTTACCCTTTTCATCAAGCTGTTATAAATTGCAAGTGCATGGATTTTATGGCAATAAAACCTCTACTATATTGCCATGGTATAAATGTACCAACGAGCATCCAAAGGATCAAATGATATGAGAATTGAAATTTGGAAGATCAGCAAGCAAAACTTATCAGATAAGGAACAAACAGCGAGCCAAAGAATTACTGAAGAATATGGCTAGTACCCATCAAATAAAATTAAAAAGGATCAAATGATATGAGAATTGAAATTTGGAAGATCAGCAAGCAAAACTTATCAGATAAGGAACAAACAGCGAGCCAAAGAATTACTGAAGAATATGGCTAGTACCCATCAAATAAAATTAAAAACAAGATGGGTCGAATATCTGAAACTACTAGACATCACATTATCAACCCAGATGCAGTAAGTGCATATAAAGAATCTTCATGCAATAATCAAGTTTAGTTACTAATGTATCCAAAAGAATATACTGCATGGAAACACTCCGTGTCTTAAGCACCACTAGTCAATGATAAAACCATCATTGTATATTTTAGATAAGATGTTCGTGGACTCTTGGCTCTGACCAGTACAACCCAAATCATCTTTTAAGTATACTATCCGAATTCAAGATGAAACAGTTCTGAAAATTCGAGTTCCATTTTCCCCACCGCGGAACACTTGAATAGTACAGTATCAGAAAGAAAAGGAAAATGTGCAGAGAATGAACTGAACCATAGATGGAACAACCACAATAACACAGCTTCAGTTTGACGTACTTCATAATTTAAATACGGTAACAAGCATGAACACATTGACCGCTTAAGTAAGGATGTCCGGGCAGGTAAAACCACTATAAACTGTCGGCAGGAGAAAATGGTTCTACTAACTACATAGATTATATATTTAATAAAGACCTTATTGAGTAGTAATTACAGTACACTCAAATGAAGCATGCATCGCTGAAGAATACCCAATGCTACGATGGGCGTACACGCTTATATGGAATGAAAACATTAAACTAAAATCAAGGGCATAAACTACTACTAGTAGGTCATCAGACAAGAAGTATCGTACGTGTAGTAATTTCGAATTAAGAAACATCCGGATTATAAACTAAGCACCGAGACCAGTCAGCCACCAAATGGTTGCCAATCAAACCCTAAGCATAAACAATTACTATGAAAGATACTCCCTCCGTCCGGAAATACTTGTCATCAAAATGGATGAAAATGGATGTATCTATAACTAAAATACATCTAGATACATCCATTTCAATGACAAGTATTTCCGGACGGAGGGAGTATATATGTGCAAAAGTGAAAGGGCTTCTTCACCTTGCGGACTTGGATAAAGGAGATGCCGTGGTTGCCGGAGGCATGAGTCCGCCGGCGCGCACCGCCGTGATCGGCAGCAGCTGGAGCTCCCAGTCCTTGTCAACCAAGGGGAACTTGGACAGGAAGGTGAGGTAGGTCTCGTAGGTGGCCGACCACCCCATCACCCAGACACGCCCCTCTCTGTGCGTCTCCAGCACTCGCGTCACCTCCGCCACCACTCGGCGCCCCCTCTCCTGGAGCTCGCCGTCATCGGGGACCAGTTCTCTGAGGTCACCAACGCTTATGACGAGACCGGAGGTGGCGCTAGCCATCGCCGCCTCCACGCCGAGTTCTGTTTGGTCGATGGAGTTTGGACAGACGGGGAGGACGCGGTACGGCGAGGCCGCGGCGAAGTCTGCGGCGGCGGACGCGGCCCCGACACCGACGAGCATGGGGTTGCGACCCCGGGCGAGGATCTCGGCGATGCGGCGGCCGTTCTCCTCGCCGGCGCCGCCTGCGATGCTCCCGGCGGGCGAGGGCACGTCGGCGTCGTCGGCGGCGGCGAAGCTGCAGAGGAAGAGAGGCGGCGGGCGGGCCCGCGTAGGGAGGCGGCCGAGCAGCGGCATGGGCGGCGCGGGGCGGAGGATGGCGAGCTTGATGTCAGCGCTGCGGAAGCCGGCGTCGTCAAAGACGCGGCTGACGACGGGGTCGTCGAGGATGGCGAGCAGGAGCTGCGAGAGCTCGACCCTGACCTGCGAGGCGGCGGTGGCGGCCTGGAAGGCGGCCTGGTGGTAGAAGTGGTAGGTGTCCGGGTTGCGGCGCTGGTTGGCCTGCGAGCGCTTGATGGCCGCCATGAGCGAGTTGGACACGGGCGGCTCCGGCTGCTCGTCGGCGCCCGAGGCCGACGAGGAGGCGGAGGCGGAGGGGAGCCTGTCGAGGGAGACGGCGAAGCAGAGCTCGAGCGCCTTGAGCTGCACGCGCGGGGAGTAGGCGGCGCTGCGGGCCCGCGCGAGCGCGTCGCGGAGGAGCGGCGGGGCCTGCTGCGCGAGCAGCGCGGCGACGAGGTGGAGCGACGTGGTCTGCGCGTGCACCCTGCGGCGCGCGGAGACGACCGCGGCGTCGAGGGCCGTGACGGCCGCCGGCGAGAGGCACTGCCTCGCCGTGGGCACCGGCGTGGGCATCTCTCCGCGGGCGCACGGGCGGATTCGGGCGTGGACCTGGCTGGCTGGGATTACTGCCTTTCACCAGGCATGGGGCGGAAGCGTAAAACCAACCCCCGAGCCCGAGGGGTAAACCGCGACGAACGACAGCGAGAATCGCTTGGGATTTTCCGCTTCGCTTGCAGGTGAGAAGGGGAGAGGATAATAACCGGCTCGGAGAGAAGGTGGATTGCTTGCTTATAAACCACGACGGATATCTTCTTGTTCCTCTTTTTATGGCATCGGAGTGGGGAAATTTGGTGGAGTGGAGGTGGAGCATATATGCCGATGCGGCAGCCCTCGTCACACACTGTGTCTACTGTCTAGCGGTAGAGGCAGTGCAAGTGCGGATTGAGATCGAGATTCCTCCTCCTTTTAGCCATAAGCCCCGCTCGCCGTGCTCTGTCGTGTACTCCTCCCCATCCTAGCTGCCGCAGCATGATTGTTCCCTTCTATTTACCTCACACAATGGCATGAGATCATGTAGCCCAGCCCTAGATGCTCAAGGCAATGGGATCTAGCATAAGCTATGGGTACAGTCACAGGATGCATGCACACTGCCTCCATCTTGAATTCCCAGCTGTTGAAGTGCTCATATGGTCCTCCCATGATTTTTGCACCACCAATTATTGGCTACCGACGCGGTCCAACTACATGTTTGTAACTGGAATTTCAGCCATTTCTAGTTGAGGAATCCACCTTGAGCGGGCAAAAAACGTCTTTTTTTTTTGTGTGTGTGTGTGGCTTGAGAAACAAACCGCATCTTTAGCTCGATGCAGACGTCTATTGTTCTGTTTATTGTTAGGCTTACATCACATTCGTTCGATTTTGTTGTCGACCCGTGCCATCCAAGGCGCGCCGAAAGATATTTGTGTGTCTCCAATTTGATTTGTTCCCCGTTTCCAGCCACACATGCATTTCGGTTTTAATGTGTTCCTCATATGAGTGGATTGAGCAATGTACATAGTATTTTTCTTTAATGATGGAAAGCAATGTACATAGTAGAGATAGGTCTAGAGAGAATCCACTAGAAATGTTGTCTTTGTGCTTACAGTGGGCTCTGGCCCTACCAATTAGTGACAAGTGGTGTGTGTGTGATGATGTTTAGATAACTTACAGAGAGGGACTTAGAATCTTATACGGTGTGCCACAATCCATATCGATGTGGACATAACTTACACAAAAAAATCATGAGAGTGATGCTTAACATTTTCCTACGAAAGAATGTAACTTATCAATTGCACTGTTGAAACAATTTGATGCACTGTATCTTTTCTCTTATCGCAAATTTTAGTGACATGATTGATCGTAGAAAGGTTATACATACATTAGCGCACAAGACGCTACTGGTGGCATGTCAAAAAACACCTTCGTGACATGTCGCCCCCACGCCATCGATACGCGCAACTGATAAAATATATTGGTGGTGTGCAAACCCCCACCCCCACGCCACCAATAACAAATATATCGGTGGCGTGTCACGTGGAGGCACGCCACCGGTACTGGATATACTGATGGCGTGTGATAACGAGTCACACAACCAGTAATATTCATCGCTGGTGGCATGTCATAATAGGGCCACACCACTAATTTGATATTTACACATAAAAGAAGCTACCCGATGGTGTTTTCCTTGCCAAATGATAGCATTTTTCAGTTTAGTAGCAGCAGTAATATCATATAGCATCTAGGGTTGACATTACTGGTAGAGCCAAATGACATCATTTAAGTTCATCAAATTGTTAATTAACATGATATGACTTGTAACTAGCATATAACATGTTCAACGAAATACTAGCATACTATGACTAGATACCGTGCCTATTAACTAGATTCTTCGGCGTGATTCGGGGTTCTAGCCTGGAGAATCAGAACCAGAGGTGCAGCTTCCATCTCATAGTCTTGTGTAGGGGCTGTCCGGCCAGGTCAACCGAGATAGGTTCAATGTGCGAGACAAATGAAGTTCATGGTCGTTGACATTTTCATGAGAGATTCTTGAAATCTGATTTCACATCGATCTCAATTTTGAACTTCTCTAGGAAGTCACACCTCGCCTCGTAAGGGCATCTCCAAAGTGGACCCTCAAATCGCTTGCATCTGCCCGGACCGTGCTGTCCAGATGCATTTTGTCATCCAATTCAGTCCCGCATCGGTCCACCAACGCGTCTGGACTTCAGTTTTCCTACAAATTGGAGACAAATAAAGGGGAGCTCTACAGGAGTCTAGACATCTGTTTGACTAATCCAAAGCAACCACGTATCCTCTTTCTGTCCGGATGGCGGAAAGCCGACGCTAATTTTTCTGCTTTTTGGTGGAAGCTGGCTAGCATTTGGCGGAAGCACTATTGTTTCACTTTTTTCTTCAAGTGCTACACCATTTTTTTCTTTTGTAAGTGATCACTATGGTGGAAGCTGGTCACAATGGCGGAAGGCACTGAAATTTTCAAGTCATAATGGCGGAAGGCCATTAGCCAATGGCGGAAAGCACTAAATTGTTTCAGTTTTTTATTTGAAGTGGTATACTTTCTTTTCATTTTTCAAGTGCTCACACTAGACCGAGCGATAATTTTTTTTGCTCAAATTTGTATGCTGGCACAGATGGTTGGCCGACTCCTGTATCAGTGTCCGGACACTGGTCTGGACCAATTTTCAGACAAACATTGTGTCCTTTTGCGGGTCGGCGATGGAGATGCCCTAAGGACGACCTGGGCAAAACTAAAAGAAAACAATAACTCGGCACTTTTGGGAGCAACTATGAAAATCAGTCCAACGTGTTGAATTAAAACATATCTTCCTAGTTATGAAGTCGTTTGGAACATCTATGAAGAACCTCTTGTCCTTCTGGCATCTGACTTGACTGCAGTTAACGCACATGTGATCCATTCCTTGCATTCATGTTGACAAATTAAATAGACATCGATCATGATAAAAAATGATTAACTAAAGATGCTAGAGAAACATGAACAAGGCAATTTTTCAAAGAAACATGAAGAAAACACGTATATCTAGGTTCATTGCATAATTTAAACACTACAACAATAAATAAACAGGGCTACAACCTTGCACAATTCAAACATAAAACATCCATAAGTTTAAACAGTCCAATATGATCAGCTAAAGGTAACAACTAATTAAACTCTTGGGACCCACGGTCGTCCTCTGATATCGCGACGATTCTGGATTCCGTGCAAGGAAGCAACAGGCGTGTGCTTTGGAGTTGTATTGGCACTCTGTTTTGGGCTATGTGGCTCACTAGAAATAAATTAGCGATCGAGGGGATCTTTCCGACTCACCCTGCTAACATCATCTACAAATGCAACCTCTTCCTACAGCAGTGGAGTCTGTTGGCGAGGCGCAAGAATGCTGAGAAACTGAAGCAAGCTCAAGATCGTCTTCGTCAGGTCTATGTTTTGGCAAGGGAGCCAGCAGCCACTTCTACGTCGTGAAGTAGTCCTTTTGTCGTTCGAGCGAGCCTGCGTGCTCTATGCTTTGGCCAATGGCCATGTAATCTGTCCGCTCGTGCTTCTTTTGGCCGTCTGAACTCTCTAGTTTCCGTAGCTACTCGGCCTGAGCCTCCGTGCTCTTTTCCGTTCGACTATGACTTGTGTGTTACGCTGCCTTGATGTGGGCTTTATTAATTTAAAGTCGGACGCTTCTAGCGTCTTCGTTCTAAAAAACAACTAATTAAACTAGTTATGATGAACTAACCCCTCTAATAAAATTTCCGTTGAGTTTTATGTGGATGAAGTGTTTAAAGACCGAGGGGAGACATCGATATAAGGGGAATAAGGAGGAGTAAGAGTTCAAGCTTGGGGATGCCCAAGGCACCCCAAGTAAATATCCAAGGAGACTCAAACATCTAAGCTTGGGGAAACATCAAAAGGAATCCCCTCTTTCTTCCTCGACAATTATCGGTATGTCTCAGTTTTATTTTGTTCATATAATATGCGTAAATTCTTGGAGGTCTTTTATCTTTATTTTCCCTTTTTCTTTTAGTGATGCGCTATGATGGTATGGGATAGTCCTTGGTGGATTTATAGAATGCTCTTTGCATTTCACTTATACCTTTTGAGTATGGCTTTATAGAATGTTGCGTGTGCTTCACGTATATCTTTTGAAGTTTGGATGCTCGTTTCTCTACACTTATAATACTATTATTAATAGAATGCTCTTTTTCTCCACTTATATTTGATAGAGCTCAGTCGATTCTTTTGTAGAAAGGATTAAAACTCTCTTGCTTCACTTTATCTTTTTGGAGAGTTGAATATAAAATGGATATTTGCATGGTTGGTCATAGGTATGTATGGGTGGTATATATAAAAACTTGCATAAAATTTGTACATCATTGAACATGATAAGTTTCATTCTTTGCAATAGTTTGAGGTACTAATATGTGATTGTGTGGGTGAATAGTTAAGATATAGTACAAATATTGGTGTTAAGATTTGTGTGTATTAGCGAAGAAGTCTAAGTGTAAGAGATATCTTAAAGTGGCTCTCATGTGTGTATTGCTAGGTGGCGCGCGATGGTTGCCTCCTACTAACCTCATCCCTAGGGGCATGAGGGTTGTGCTTGTTTTGGTATGGGCTACTAGGTCTCCTCAATAAGTACTTGAGTTCTTTATGACTAATGTGAGTTTTTCGGTCTTTTGTGCACTTCAACCTATCCATATTTTGCTAGCCTATTCGATATCGTGCATTCTCCACTCTCACCTTGAGACATGGTGCATATTTCATCGGTGCATCCAACTCCATGATATGATATGCTCTCTTACACATAAGCCACATTGTATCTTTCTCAAAACAGTCACCATACCTACCTATTATGGCATTTTCATAGCTATCCTGAGATATATTGCCATGCAACTATTATTACTATTCATTACATGAATTGAGCATTCATTGTCATTTTTCCTTTCATGATCATATAAAGCTGACATGATATTTGTGGCAAAGCCACCATTCATCATTGTATACATGTTAC